TCTCTGTTACAAAATTACACTTTCTGTCTGTCTTACATAATTTTTAATATTGTGTAGCAAGCAAAATAATATACTATGCCTAGGGATGATGAGAAATTTTCGTTCCAACTACCTCAACCTGACCTTAAATCTCGTTAAGTTTATGGCTTACCTATGACTATATATTACTTGTCAAATTGGTTCTATTCCCGGTCCGGTCTAGGAATTTTTTGGGTTGGAAAATTTCTGGACTTCCCTGGACATGGAGTATGATTGTACTTGCCACACAACTATACTGTACTAATGGAAAAATGGTACAGGCATCGAAAGCTCTCAATTAATAAATGTAGAAGTGCATCTAGAACACTAAGTAGAGAGCAGGCAATAAGCTAATATTCGATAAGCAATAAGCTTGAAAAGCGAAGAGGAAGAAGAAGAAGCATTATCCATTCATCCTGCCAACACTGCTCTCCTGCAGCGGCTAACCTTTCACACTCACTCACTCTCGCCGAACGCGGGCTGAATCAGTGAGCTGCAAACCAAAATTATTATTTCTAGATATTTTTATCGCGAGATGTGCGACGTCTTAGCCGGCACACGGGAAAGGTATTGTTGAGCATGCTGCTTTCATCGGCCTGGCGTGCTTGTTCAGAATAATGCAAGAGTGAAAAAACGAGATCAAGATAAAATACCGAGGTTTGGCGGGCTTCTGTTGGATACCACTTGTAGTCACGTGTATAATTGATGATGATTAGTTTGACTGACTTCAGGCGACTTATACATGGACTCTTTTACACTACAGCGATCTCCGGTCTGTGCTTCAGACCAAATGCGGTAGGCACGTGTTGATTGGCCGTGGCGATCACTTCTAGGGGCTCTCTGCAAAGGTGAAAGATAGACCAATCGTGACGCGCTTGATAAATCGTTTAAGGGATTACATTGATTCGACTACCTAAGAGGAAAAGGGTCGATACGCAGCGTGGATAAAACATGCGATGCGATTTGTGAGTATAAGTATTTACATTATATGTTGCACGTTGATGCCATCTTGATTGATACAGTTGTATGGAAAGCTATAACGGTGCACTGTCCGAAATGTCCATCATTAGGGTTTTAAGATTGAGATATTTATACTGTCCCGCTGCTGGAGGCCAATGCTTTGATATTTTGATTTGACTTTTAGTTACAAATCAATCAAAACTTTTTCCTTTCACTAGGGGTAATGTGGAGAGTGTGATCGTTTTTGGATTATAATAAATTGTATCAAACGTGCATGAATTGAGCTGTATTTGGGATAAATTCATTCTATGCCACTACATATATGAATAAAAGAGTGTATTAGAGTGATGGACAGCTTAAATAGCTATTGCCACAGGCTCAACATTAAGTCAAAATATCTTGACTCCGAATTTTAAATCAGACTTTAACCTGAACAAACAAGTGAAAGGCTTGATGATATTCAATTCTTCATCTCAAAAGCTTGAGGTATATTGCAGCTATTCAGTGTACTTGAAGAAATTTAGCGGAAAGGAATAGGATATATGTAACTAGCAATTCAATAAGTAAAATAGTTCAATAAATAGTAATTCAGAAACTTCCTTACACGCTATTTGAAATCATCCCGAATATTGGTAGAATCTACCCAGATTAGTCAAAGCAGAACCTACCCGAAAATGGGAAAACTAAGTTGAGACAGCTGAATGCGTCCACTTAGCTGAACGGGTCTGGAGAAACAGAAAAAGCGAGAATCCTTCATCGCTCTTCTCGCTTATATCTTAAATAGTTCCCAGTGCAAAGTGGTCCAGAATGGGAATTTAGCAGGAATAGTCCTAATCCTTATTTGATGTAGTATATAGACGTTATTGATTAATTGATTTTCAAAAACAATCTTTTTAATTTTGAAAATAAACACATATGTTGTTGAACACAGTTGTAGCAGAGTTATTTTTAAGTAATTTTATGAAAGAAATATATCTCTTAACGTTCTCTTTTTAGAGCAATTTTTCAAAATTGAATTAGGGTGTAACTGAAAAATGTATAAAACTACAAAATCTTCAAAATGTTTTGTCTAAATTGTATCGTAAAAGTTAGAACTTGTTAAAATACACATTGATGCCGGATAAAGTAAATTCATATGGGGACCTACACACAAATTTTCAAGCCTGCATTAGAAAGAGCATAACATGAAGTATATGATATACACAGGCATTTCGTACGATCGCACTTTTATTTTTTAATTCCACAAATAATTTCTGATGATGTTAGCCCTAAACATTATTAATAAGGGAAAAAGCATACTAATACCATCGGATCCTGAGGAATCAAAAATGTTAGGAGGCAACCAGTCTCCATTCCCTTCCGTGGAGAATGATTTTCCCGCTCCAGATTAAAGTCCGTTACTTATTGAAATCCCTTCTCCAACATCAACTAGGTAATTCCACCTTAATAGCCACCAGCATTCACAGCATCATCACTCGCAGCAACAAATAATATGAGCAGGACGATAACAGCAGCAACAGAAACCGTTTCAACATACAAAACTCAGCACATCACCGCCATCAGCAACTCTAACAGCATAATATGAACAGGCAACTTAGAAGAGCAGCAGCTTGCTTGTCCGTCCTAAATTCAGTTCGTGTATTGTACGAATAAGGTGTAATATGGGCCTACTAAGCACAACCCGCCCTTTGCCTCTATTTTGCGAGTGGATTTTATTCACAAAATGGAATGTTTTCAATGCAGATGTCTTTTAAATTTATTCACCTTTCCGTTTGTACCGGAAGATTTTATAAAAAGAAACAAATTGTTGAGATATTGCTAAAAATCTAACACTGCTTTTTGACCCCAAACTCGGCCTACGGATTCTAAATTAGGCCTAATGCATTGAAACGTCATTCAAACGCCATTTAATTCACTTCGAGTTATCGGATGATGATAAAAATTGATCCGGGCGATGGAATTTCAGAATGTGACAGATATTAGATTACTATACTGGATAGGACATACGGACTTGATGTTGCTTTCACATTTTTCCAGATCAAAGTTAGTAGTTTTATCATATAATATAAATGTAGATAGTATTTAACGATGTTATTTCAAAATTTATGAAAATCAACATGGGACTGATATGCGATTCTAGGCAGTGCACGTGTGTATTTGCAAGAAAATAATAATGCTACGCCAGAACATAATACCACAATACACGGTCCTTTTACTGCGGTATTATTATTTCTGAAACACCCCATTCCGTGAATCTGATGGCAATATCCAACAACTAATTTGCATTCAGATTTCGAATAATTAATTACACGCAAAACCACGCGCTGATTATGTCGTACGGTCGCGATTATATCCAACATTTATTTTCATTCCAAACATGCCTAAACGCTATCAACTTCCTGTGACACAAAACGTGACGAAGAATGTTGTTCGCAGAAAGAAACAAACTATTTCATTCATCCGTGGATTTCACCGATGAATGAATAAAACACTCTCCAACAGTTAATGAAATATGCGAACAGAAGACCAGAGAACAGAAAGTTTTAATCCGCACATACGTGATAGATTATGTCAGTGAGATGGATGTTTCATGTCCATGGGAACAGTTATTTCATTCAAAAAATTTGCCGTCCCTTGAACTAAGCTAATCAGATGATTGATGGGTTCATAATAGGAGGAAATTGCTAAGAGGCGCTTTTGAACAGAATCTTATTATTGAGATGTACACATGGAATTCTGATCGATATCCTGCACCGAAATGAACCCATTGACCAATGCAAAAATTCTAATGCTAAATTCCCGCAAAAATACTCAATCAAAACTCCGAATCGTGGATAATTGAAAACGGTCAATGATTCGATCGAAAAGCCGTCTAACTCAAACCTTTAATAGGTCAGTTCAAATGATAGCTAAATAAAAACCTGAATAAACGTAGAAGGGAAGGAAAAGCCGCAAAAACGGCCATAAATAAAATCTGAAATGGGTAGTCAAACTCATCTTGGCTGTTTTTTGGCAACTTCATGGCTTTCACAGCTGCGCGATACCAATCTTTTGCAGATTAATATTTATTTTGTTTCCCTAGCATGAGGGTCAGCATGCCAGGGCAGGTTGAGGTAATTTGGCACGTTTAACAGAATAATCACTACTGATGGTATCAGCGTGTATCAGCAGTAGGTAATAAGTGTTGGACTGAAGTTGATTCCGTATAAGTTTGAGTCGAAAGGCTCGTTTTGGGTTAATTACTGATTGATCATTATCATTTGAAGATATGTTTAACCGAGTTTTCTCACAACGATATCAGTTTATTCCATTTCAACCGATCCGACAATCATGTCTTCTATTCTCAAGCTATCGTTTGATCGAACATATTTAGTACTTCTGTAATTGAGCGCTGCACTATTTTTTGCAATTATTTATTGTGAACCAAACACTCCATGTTAAGGAAAGTCGACAAATTTCCCAATCCAAAAAATATTCTCAACCGTACTGTAAATCGAGGGGAGGCCATAAGAAAGATTATACATAAATTTAAAATACTTCCAAAGTATGAACATCTTCTCAGAGCTTTCAATCACCACAGAGCCACCATTCAATGTAGGTAGCCGAGCAATCATTTATCTTTATGAAACGGCCACGCCCTGGACACAACTATTCAAAGACCTCAAACCGAACATGCCACGCTTAACCGAGCATCGCGGTCGGTTCTTCTGCTGAAGGACAGATACTCGAATCCCAGACATTAAGCAACGGACAAGAAGCGCCACACCAACGCGAAAAACGATTAGTCGATATAAAAGGCACCCTACCGAGCATAAATTGGAGATTGAAATAAATCTCAACCGCTGGGACCGGGACGGAAATGTGCAGCCTCTAGACGATCAACCGGCATTTGTTTTTGCTACCGATATGCACCCTGCTACTGGTTAAAAGAAATATGTTCAACGATGATTTGATTTATGTTCCAAAATGATTTCATGGCTGGCTTATTTGTAGCTTTTATGAACGCATATGTCTTCACTTACCTAAATCCACCATCAGGGTCCAGTTGTAGCGACATGAACATCAGCATATCAGCAGATCTGAAAATTGGAAAAAGAAATATAAGCATTAGAATGCTGATCGATAAAGATTAGTTCACTTATAATCTGATAACAATGAGAATGCATTTGATTTTTAATTACATGACAGTGTAATCTCATTTTGATCACTGTGTTATAGAGTTAACTCAATGATGTAGGTCAGAACAGTCACTGACACTGCCGATGGCAACATTATCGCCACAATCCATCTCAACCTTATTGATTTTAGTAAGATCTGCAACTAACTGGCAGTTCAGGTGACATAAGAAGGCCGTGGACAGAGTCCGTCCGACAGAACCTGCACGAAAGACCCCCCTTCTTGCTGCACTGTTCTCACAACAAATCACACAACAGATGCTCGGATGCAGGTCGCGGATTTCCTCGCGTGATCTTCATTGTACACACACTGGCTGCCTGGCTGACTGGGATGGCTGTTCCGCAAGCTTATCTTGATGTCTTGTCATTTATCACTCACCATGATGGGGCGTAGCGGGCTAAAGTTAAGCTACTGAATGGGATGCTGTCATGACACGACGTAAAACTGGCAGCCACTGCTGTTGCTGATGGTGCCGTTAACTTCCTGGAGGCTCCACTCCGAAGAAATTGGCCATATATAGCCTTCTGTGAGGGTTGCGTAATTAGCGAATTCCTCGATTGCATCCTCAAGTGATCACGGGTGATTGAATTCCTTTTCGCAGTCAAACCAGTCTGCAGCACGCAATGATTACACACACCAATAAAAAAAAAACAGGTAAATTTCGGTGCACTGAGACTGACATATACTTTTGACACAACATTAAATAAAAAAATATGCGAAAGTCAGCTCAGTCAAATGTACTTTTTGGTGGCACTAAATTGTACATGACATGTTTGTTTACGTTTCATCCTTTGCGTCAAAGATGAAATCCATCCCGTGTAAAAATTGGTTTATTTCTAAGTGTGCAGTCTGTAATTTTCAGAAACAGTCATAGCTTCTTATTTTGTTTCGTTAAGGTGCGACAATGGCTGTCCCCACAATCATTAAATAAACGTGTTTTGGCATGCGTACGAAAGACATTTTCCTACAAAAAAGTAAATAACTAATTAGATACATTAAAAAATGGGCCAAAATTGTATGCATAAGATCTGGATATATATTTGTACACTTTCTCACCAAAATATTGCCAATTCATTCACGCATTCGCAATATTTGCATTAAAAAGTACGATCAGTTGATTTTGTTCTACTTTGGGCATGTAATTTAAAGAGCTGTTTTCTTCTTCTTCTTCTTCTCCTTTATTTATCGTCGGTCTATGTTCCGCAATCTAGTGCCAATCACCGATGGACATTGATTGCCATCCATTGACGGCAACCGAATGTGCAGGAAGGCAGCTTCCACACCTGCGTAAGATATCGCACCCATTCACAACACACATGGGCCGGGACCAACGGCTTTACTTCCCTTCCGAAGGAAGACGTGACCAGAGATTTTTATGCCTCAGAAAAATCCCACCGACCTCGGCTGGGATTGAACCCAGAACCACTGGGGTTTTAGAAAGCAGTCACGCTTACCACTACACCACCGGCGCCGGCAAAGCTGTTTTCACTAGCTTTCACTTCTCAGAACCACACTAAAAACAATTAAGACACGTGCTTCTACAAGCACTTTCAAGTTAATTCACTTTTAAAGATGATATTTACTTAAACAATATCATTTGCATCGTTAAAAACGCGAGCCGCGAATAATTTTCTAAGCTGAAATTGTTTTGTTTACCTTTTTTCTACACACCACATTACAAAGGTGTGTGTACAAATCATCCATCATCGTATCCAGTGTTGTCAATGTAATTGAAACAAAGTGTTTAATAACAATGTTTTTATTGCTTTTAAAGTTTCTTCAAGTGTATTTAATGTAGAAACCATCACTAATACAAATTAAAAACAATTTCTTATTTTGATTTTCCAGAAAAGAAATAGGAGGAAATAAACCTACAAATCTTCTATAGAAAACATTTTTGTCATTATGGTTTCACTGGTCAAAGCCATCAGCTGATAATAAAAAGGTTGGAAAAGAATTATGTAAAAACATAAACATGCACGATAAGAAAAAACATATTTAGCCACTAGTTCATATTAACCTACTTTTGACTTTGAGTATAATCACAATCATATTCACCTACTCTTGGGTATAACTGACTTGGTAGAAAGCAAATTTTCAATTCCATAAGATTTGTACACAAGTAAATGAAAACTACTTTGACTCACTTTACCTACTTTTGGCATCCTGCAATAAAGTGTCGAGATGTGTGAAAATAACTTTCTTTTGGGTACTTTTTTTCTTACCTTGTACCTGGAGGTGTGAGTGCTGGAATCAGTTTTGGACCGGTCGTGTGTAACCGAAGTGTACAAAGTGTGGCTTTGAATTAATCAACTACTATGATTACTTCTCTTGGTTGGCCTTGGTGGCTAGGCGTATGATATTTTTCTGTATAGAAAGGAATGTCCTTGGGAGGTGGTAGATCAATAATTTTATCAAATTGAATAGAAATGTAGTAATGGTGTCAATATTGGATGATAAATAGACATTCGACCGATTAATAACGAACTCTAGCAGCTATTTTTACGGTAGTTGCGACAGTGCATGATGTATACTCACACCCCTACAGCATCAATGATAATCATTTCACTGACACATAGAAACGAGAGAAAAAAAAACCAAAAAAAAGCGTGACGTATCGTATCACCTTAAGTTAGTTAAAAATAAGAAAAATTCACCTTAGCACAGACAAAATAATCAGTAATAGGATACTGTTTTTTATGTTTGCAGTTCATTTTGGATACTTTTGACTAAATAAAATAAACTTTTGATGGTGATAAATTACCAACGGTAATCAAGTGCTAGGAAGGCGACTTCTACACATAGAACCTATCGAACCCATCAACACATGAGCCAGGACCAACAGGCTTAACTCCTTTCCGAAAAAAAAGACGCAACGCCTCAGAAAAATCCCAATGGCCCCGCCTAGGATTGAACCCAAACACTGGAGTGTTAAATCAGTCACGCTTGCCACTCAACCACCGGGCCATCCTTCAGCTCAATTCACAATCCAACATACCAGCGTGAGCAAAGAATGGTACAAATTAATTAAGGTTTAGGGGTCACGTAAACGATTTATAATTTTAATGAATAGGGTAGTGCATTAGATACCATTTATTTTGGCTTATTAAACTTATACCTTGTTACGGGTGTCCACTAAAAAAATGAGAACGAAAAGAATAGATCGGGGAAAAACACAAGTGAAGTTTAGTTCAAGCTGATTTATTTCATACAAAGGGTTAACTTAAGTCTTCAAACTGTGCTTAATGAAAAGTGGCATACGGTCCGTGGCCCACCGTGATGATTTTGGAACATGACCGTTGGACTGCTACAACATCGATTTTCTGGATGCACTTTTTTGATGCACCAACAGGATGGTGAGTTGCTTGGTGTCCTTGGTCTTCCAATTATCCTTGTAGACCATGGAGCTCAATAGACCGAAAAAATCCTCGATAAGACGGCTCTGCGGCAGATTTGTCGGATTCCGGTCTTTTGGCACATATGGTATATTTTGGCTTTCCGCCGTACTTCCAGGTCATCCAGCGGCTTTGGGATATCGTGGTTTTCTCGTCAGTGTACTCTGGGGATCTGGTTTTCTTTCTACACATTCCTTCCTTAGAGTCTTGCAGATGTGTGACTTCAAACGACGGAACTTTCTGTTCGCTTCCTGTTTATTTACCGAATCCTTATTGTTGGACATGTTGTGCGGCGAGCAAAGCGTCTTCTTATTCATTATCTTCGTTGGAGGGCCACTACCTCTCTTCCGGGTTTTTTTTTTTCCTCTGTTCGGGACCTAACACCACTGCGACCAGTAATTTGATCTATTGTAGTATATCCCGTGTCCTTAGTTTAGTGCATGTCGTATTACTCCATCACTATTGAGAAATGATGAAGTATTTGATTTTTTTACAGTTGTCATTCTTGCATTTATCGCAAGGCTCCGACTCTAATTGAAAGGCTCCGCTATTTATACCCTTCGGAGTGTTGAAACACCCTCCAAAGGCGCACCCCTATGTCAGTCAAAATTGGATTCCTTAGCAACAAAATTAAGGAATGACACCGATAATGACCATGCATCAGAACCCTAGTCTCAACCACTTCAAACCTAGGCAACAACAAATAAAAGATTAGGAATCACATAGATGAAGACTTACTTACTCATTTTTTTTCCTTGTTTCAAGATCATCCTCGGTGGCAAAGCCAAGTCTTGTCACTATCAACAAGGCACAAAAAGTAATAAGGACTAAGATGCGTTCCTTGGATTACTGAAAAATCCTGTTCCCCTAGTTTGAAGTAGTCAGGACTAGGAATCGGTGGTAGATCTTACATCCCGTAACGTACCACGAAAAGGTGATCTACCCACGTTACGGGACACTTCCGGGTTACTGCCATGAATGGCAGGATACGGTATAGGGTGGATACCGGTACTTTTTTCCACAATCTTCGTTCGCTTGAAAGAATTGTCCAATGCGCGCACGTTTTTGTTCTGTTAGAAAAGTATTGGAATCATTCTCACTTTTTAGTGGACACCCGTTAGCTCAATTGAGTTGATTTTGTGAGTGCATTCCAGTTGAGAGGTAGAGAAGAGCGCTACTTCGTCGTAGCCGTTCTATCAAGCAGAAATAATCATAACTATCAATGATTTCACCATGCACAAATACGTTTGTTCCGATCCATTATTTCATAAACCACAACATAAAGCCTATTACAGCGCATTGTATGAATATTTACACTCAAAGCCAAAAAATATCTCAATTCATGATTTTGCAAATCACTTTTGGGTCGTACAATATTCGTATTTGGTGGTAGTCGAAATATATATTTTTAGTAAATTTAGTAAAAGTTTCATGACGACACTCGATTTAAGACGATTAAAGCTCAGTCACCAGGAAAGTCACAAAATAAAAAAAATAAAACAGGAAGAAAAC